GCGCCGGCCTCGTCTCTCACCCCCTCTTGTACACCTCCAGCTCGGTGTTCACGGTCCTAAGCCGGGCGCGCAGGCTCCGCTCCGAAGCCTTCACCTCCTCGAGCTGCCAGGAGTGAACAGGGGCAGAGAGGACCACACGGAGGCCGAGGTCCACGCCCCACCGGTCACCCCCGCCGGCCGCCCCGCCCCCTCACCTCCTTGGCCAGGCGCCGGCAATCCTGGCTGCGGCGGCCAACCCCGCGGTGTCCAAGGCCCCGCTCTTGCCGCAGCTCCAGCTCCAGGCCCCTGACGAGCCCACGCAGCGCCTCCGCCTCCTGGCGCGCAGCCCTCCCTGCCAGAGCCTCCTCTCGAGATTGGCCCAGCTGCGCCTCCAGTTCTCGCTTCTCAGATGCCAGGCGTGAAACCCTGGGGGAAGTGGGTAGAGGGAAGACAAGAGTCGGGAGGGGGTCTCTCAGGATCCCATCATTCTCACTTCTCCATGGGGTGGGCACGAACCATTTCACCTGCTCCAGGAACAGGGAAATGCAGCCCCACCACTCCAGCTGCCCCTGTGGTCCCATCATCTCTCCTCCTCCACCTCTCCCACATGAGGAGGAACACGGCCACATCACTCTCATTCATCCCACGGGGAGGACACAGCCCTGCGAATTCCAATTCCAAAATAAATCTCATAAATCTGTCCTTCTCTATACCCTGAACGCCTAGCCCTGAAGTCCTGGCCTTAGACTCCCCCCAGGCCTCCCAGCCAAGTCTCACTACCTCCTATTCACCAGAAGGCTCTAAAATGCAAATCCAATGGGGAACCTAGTTGGTTCAGGTGGTTGGGCTTCCTATTCTTGATTTTGGCTCAGGTCATGGGTCCTGAGATTGAGCCCCACATGGAGCCCCCCATCGGGCTCCACACTCAGCATGGGGTCTGCTTGTCCCTCCTCCCTCCCCTGCTTGTACTCTCTGACACACTCTCTCTCTAAAATAAATAAATAAAAATTAAAAAAAAAATAAAATGCAAATCCAATCAGATCCCCTACTATGCTCAAAACCTTCCTTGAAGAAAAGATGTACACAAAAGGCTATTCACTGCAACACTATTCGTAATAGCAAAAAGAGTAGAAATGACCAAAATGTATACCAACAGAAAATAAGTTGAATTTCTATGGTATATCCACTAAACGTCCTAGCCAATGCAATAAAACAAGAAAAAGGGGCACCTGGGTGGCCCAGTCATTAAACGTCTGCCTTCGGCTCAGGTGATGATCCCAGGGTCCTGGGATCGAGCCCCGCATCGGGCTCCCTGCTCTGCGGGAAGCCTGCTTCTCCCTCTCCCACTCCCCCTGC